AAGGCCAGATCCCTAGATTGTAAATTGACGGACCAAAATAAGTGTATCGAGGATCTCCGCAATGACCTGGCAGACCTTCTTCACCGGCTGGAGGCTGTCGAGGCGGAAGTAGAGGAGCGGATGAAGAGCGATATGACTGATACGCCAGATGGGCCGGAGCAGAAGACGGTGTGGACCCGGCAGTCGCAGCGGGGATGAAATCGACAGGCTTGGGACGGGCTTGGGGGCCTCTGAGAACATTATCTATGCATAAATTCATCAAGCATTCGTCATATGGGCTCTCTCACGCTGAGTACACTCTTGCCTTACGATTACCAATTGTACAATGTTCGGATCAGGACTCTTGTTGTGTTTTAAATAGGTGGTACGCAATGAAATCTGTCTTCTGCGAATACAGCAAAGGCCTTGCAAATGGACCTTTCATGGATATACCTACCCACCGAGTCAGTCGATATTACAGATTGCACGGAGGTACAGTTTTGCTCAGTGGCCGAGTCTATATACCAATTCGTCCCTTCGGTAAGTCTTTCCGGTACGGCGGCAACGCGACACGAATGACGCGATTATTCTTTGATTTTACATGAACGATGATGAATTCTGAAGAGAAACTTTGACACAAATAGCATGGCCCAGGTGAAAAGCATGGCACCTTGTTCTGAAACACATCCTACTGATGAGTAATTGGTTTATGAGAAGAAGTCACGCGCACCTGAGAAACGCCCAAAACCTGAACCGAGATGGCGGCTTTCACCCTGCTGGACCCCTCAAGCTTCATCGCTAGCTTTGCCTGAACCAACCAAGACTTCTCTCCCATCTGTTGTAGCATGTAATCGACGGGATTGCACGACGTATCGATAGAGGTGTCAAGCTCTATCTCGAAGTTTCTTCGGATCTATCGACACATGAATCCAAATGAACCCCATCGAATACTCAAAGCAGGCTGGATCTGCATTCCCCGAGGTCACAAGCGTGTTGAAAAGAGGTCCCATCGTGGTTGATGGGAGGCCAGCGCAAAGGTACCTCGAATATTGACCACTTGCCGTCCGTTTTCCCTTACTGATCGTCTTAATCTCATCGGTTGACTGTGGATCGAGAATAACCGAATCTGAGATCCAGTATTCAGTTGACCAATTATAGAAGAGTAGAAAGCTTTTCCCGGCCAGCAAGTTCTTAAAACGAAGTATGCTCTCCCGGACTTTGGAAGGCCTTTTCCAGTCTGGTAAGCCAGGGAGAATAATCTTCATATCTGTCAGGTTTCCTGTATGAAGAAATCCAACTTGATACTCCTCCGGTCTCAGATTCGTCAAGTAGGCCGGAGGTATCACGATTACACTTCTATTCTGCATAGAAACGAATTTGCCTGCCCTGTCAGGTCTGTTGGAAGGGTGATCTTGTGGTATGATGGTGGACTGCAAGGTAGTGTTGATGCTCTGGCCACAGAGTTTCGACTGCTCCCATTTCCAGACAAGCTCCTCGGTTTTCGAATATAAGAAAGGAAACCTGTTCACAAAAGCTTCAGGGGAGCGATACACCGGAAGTTGAGGCTTGTCTTTATCAGGATTAGCTTTTAAGTTTGCCATAGCCCGAATAAGATATCACATACCGACGGGCTTTTTACGGAAGCGATTGAAGTCGAGCTTTAAGTGTCTATACAATGGTTTGCCATCGAGATCCATTTTTTCGTAGTCGTAAATACAGAATGGACCGGAAAGCAATGCACTGAAGCTGGGATAGACAAACCGGCGATCCAACGGCTTGTATAGGGGGATAATATAGTGTAAAAAAAACCAAGATACTTATATACAAGATGATGTCGAGAGAAAAGCAATCACGCCGAGTTATGCAGCTATGCAGTAATAGCGGCAAGTTTTCGAAAGCAGATCTTAAAATTGGATGGTGATGGATCATAATTTAGATCATTCAGTGATAGTTCACCTAACGCTATGCCGTTGAGACTTGAACTGATTCCACCCGTACAGCAACTAATGATTCACAAACACAAATCTCGGCCCCTCTCAGCCCCAGCAGGGAGGCCAAAGGTCGAAACGTTGTAATTGTGGAAAGAGGTTCTCAGTCTCGCCACAGACAAGGCTTTTTAGGTACAGTACTGTATACGCTGCATAGGACTCAGAATAGCCATAGGGCTAGCTATACCATCAAACCGATTTCGGTAACTCCAGTTTTTTTTTACTACGGCAGAGCATGCATCATTCTTTCCGATAATTTTACCGCAGCCTACTATCTAGGTCATGATACGAGAAAAGATCTTTGAAGTGGTCCTTCCTATTCGAATTAAGAGACTAGATTTTTTTCGTATCTTATCATCAAGTCAATATATCAACCCCTTATAGGTCATCCGTTGTGCCATAGGTCCGACAGAAACATAAAATACATTGATATACAATTCTTCTCGGCGGCCACCCCGACAAATATCCTGCCACGCTTTGACATGAAACATTTCCGTGACCAGGATGCGATCGGGCTTTGATTGCATGATTTCAGAGACCATTTTGATATCTTCTTCTATACCTTGAATCGGATGTCTGCTGTAAAACACATTTGCAAAGGTAATGGCCAAATCACGAATGGTGCTGTTGGCAGATGGCTTGATTCCCAAAACCAGAGAGATTCTGGGAAGAAGGAGCGGATCTAATGATAAGAATGCATGGGTGTAATATTTGATCACCTCTGCTCTGTTGTTGACACGGATTCTCTGAGGAATTATCGCAGCAACCCTGACTTCTTCGTTCTGGAACGCCGTTTGAAGGCTTGTGAGAATGGACTGTAGCTGCCTCGTCGAGAGATGAGAGGAGAATATTGGTGGCAATCTGAGATGCTCCAGCATGGCAGAACAGAATAGCTCGTCAGGTAACCAGATCTCTTTCGACTCGTAGCCCCGTATATGCAGAGCATCAATACCCATGAAAGCGTAGCATATCAGAGCGATACTGGCTCCATACCAAATGGTCTGTAAGGAAACCAGGGTTGTTGAAAGCACGTTTGGACAAAGCTAGACTCTTGCGATCAATATTGTCCGAGAAGGAACAGAACATATCGGATCTACATTTCCAAATCTTCACATGACATAATATGCAAACCCTGAGATTCGCTCAAAGCTTCACGAATATCACTAAGCCAGGACTGCTGCTGACAATAATACAAGACGAAAACTCTTCTCCCAGTCATGATCATTACGGTATATGATGGACCACAAGGCACCCTTATCACCAGGGAGCATTGCAATAACGAACAAGTAGTGAAGTGCCAGTAAGAGCTGATGAAAAGTGTGGGGGCTCTCGGCTGAAAGAGTACCATTCGTTGGGGCTTGTGTGGGAACTCGAGGTGGCAAGGAAACCTGGCTGCTGTCAGCGGGGAGAAATACAATAGTGGGCAGTAGGATCGCACACCGGAAGTGTCATATTGAAGTATGGTTGCTTCAGACGGGTGCTAGCGGAGCTTGGGTGCTCCTCAGGCTCTACACTATCGACGAAAGAATCGTGGGTCTGGAAAGCTCTGGGTAATGAAACAGCATTGACGGGTGGAGATTGAAATTCCTGCCCTGGTTGATCGGCACTTCGCACATCCGGAGGGATGTTCTGTATTTAAGGCTTAGGAGGGATCCGCTATGTAGTGCACGCGCACTCCTTCCCCTCCTTTAACAAATGAGCCCACCCGTTGCATCCCGTTCACCAGCGAAGACTCTCCAACGACGCTGGCAATGACTCGGATGCAGACGAGACTGCACCAGCCTCATGCTCTACCGCCATTAGACCAAAGGTAAGTGTTCTCCAAACACCCCGCAAACAAAACTCAACGGTGTAATACAGATCTCTACCGCAGCGAGCAACCTCCCCACGATGCAAATCAAGCAAATCCTAGATTGCAATGTTAACCTCGCCCTATCTGCCCTAAGACTATTAGTTTTGTATCTATGTCTATGGGAAATTTATGTTGTTAAATCTGCGTACCATATCCCGGCTTGAAGATGAGCGGCGCCAGATATGCGAGTTTAATGAATCTCTGGAAGACGAGAATGATAAACTCCTGCAGTGTTGCAACCGACAGGCACTGGAGTTGGAGGATCGGAAACGGGCACTGAACACATTTCATGGCAGCGGCATGTCAGCCTTGCAAATCATTGATCTACCTTACTATCACATCGATAAACCCTGATGCATACACTGTAGTAAGCTCATTACCAGCATTTTGGCAGAAGAAATAAGTCACCGGGACAGAATTTGTGGTCTTCTTCCGAAAGCACTTCAATGCGTTGGTTCCAATCCGAGTTTCACGATGGATGCAGCCGATGTCATGATTACAGGCCACATAAGGTGCGGTAAACTGTGCTGCAGGAGTTGCATCTACAAGACATGCTTGTTCCTCAACCGAGTGCGGGGCATGGTCCCAGCTCCTTCGTCAGGTGACTAAAGGCGCTAAATATTTGGCTGAGAGTCCTAGGCCTCGCCAAAACCCGCCTGCTGTTTTATTAAGTGATGCTTCAATGTTCATGTTATTTGAGGGGAGTTGATTGTGTGTTGTGTTAAGTGTTGTCTAAGATACAAGTAGACCAAGAGACGGAGATACACGTATGCACGTGATCCCAGCCTCATTATCTCAGCAACCGGGGTATTCCAACAGCCAGAACCCGCGGTGGGCTGCTTGTGGGCGGGTAAGGAAATTGAAAACCCAACCCAAACCCGCGCTTGGCGAGGTCTAGCTGTGACGTTTCTTATTAAGACCCGTGAGCATGTGATATATCATGTGATATATCATGTGACTTTATGTGCCCAACGGTGTTGACACGCCCCGCTTAAACTTCTTTTTACCCCTCTTGATCGCATTTCAAATTATTTTGTCTCTTACAAGTATTCACATTTCTTCGGTCCATTGATGGAATCTGGCTGATATTTATCTAGGCCCAAGGAGCGGAGCCTCAATCCTCAATCATCCACCCATCCTCATTTTCTTTTTTTCCCCTCTCGCAGTCGCGTTCGCATTCGATGGAACCCCGAAAACTACCTGGCCCAGCCGAAGATATCCGAAAGGAAATTCAGGTATTAATACCACAACTTAAGACAGTGGAAGAAGATGAGAGTGGAAATAAGAAGTACAGTGGGGATACACTTTCGGAGCTCGTATCTCGAATGAAATCTGCTCTTCAAATCGATGGGGTAGGCATGAACGTCCAGCTATTTTTTGCGCATCGCTAACTCTATTAGAACTGGGAAGGACGTTTAAGATACTGGTCGAAGCGCACAAAACTAGACCTTCGAGATACGGCATACCTTATACCAATCCCAAATGAGATTGAAGTGAACGGGTGGTTCCTGAAGGACGGGTGGTTCGTACAAGTTAATAATAACCCAGTTGTCGGCGCAGGCGCAACTACTTTGGTCATCACGCCTCGTTGATTTTTTAAGCTGCAAATGATCGGTGAAGTAAACTGCTGTCATTATGAATGAAATTTGTTGTATATCATATTACTAAAACCGGACTCTTCGCAGCCCAAAAGGGATTCTGGTAGGCTGCGTCCGAATATCCTGCAGCTTGGCGATTATACAAGTCTTTGGGAAAAGTGGATGGTGACGAGTGATTACCTAAGAGACCTTGCTGCAGCATAGGGTTGCCCTGATGGTGTACTTGCCTATGGTCGGTCGGTGGTATTGGGTCAAAATTCCCTTGTAGCATATGACCGTCAGCTTGACTTGAGGTGGCCAAAAGTGGTTGGTTATAGTTTTCCTGTTGCCCTATACTGTCACTTTCGCCATTTGTCCAACGCCAAACCTGGCCCCAGAGGCTCGACGATGGGGTTCCGCGTTGCCGCAGGTTGGGGTGGCTTTGTGATTGCATGTTCCAGAGTTCACCCGAGTCAGTTGATCGTGGCAGGCGAGGGCTGCTTTGCAATACGTCAAGACTGAAGCTGAAGATTGGATCTATACTGGGGCTTCCATGTTGTCGTATGCCATCATTTCTATCATTTGTGAAACCAAAAACTTGATCCCAGAGATTCGAGGGTGATGGTTCGTGTTGCAGCGGGTTCAAATTGCCTTGCGGTGGGATAAACTGAGCCGATGTCGTCAGCTGTGGTGGATCAGAGTAGTTTCCCAGTTGCATGCTGTCGTTCCCATCGTCTCTCCAAGACCAAACTTGATCCCAGAGACTCGAGGGTAATGGTTCGTGTTGCAGCGGGTTCAAATTGCCTTGCGGTGGGATAAACTGAGCCGATGTCGTCAGCTGTGGTGGATCAGAGTAGTTTCCCAGTTGCATGCTGTCGTTCCCATCGTCTCTCCAAGACCAAACTTGATCCCAGAGACTCGAGGGTAATGGTTCGTGTTGCAGCGGGTTCAAATTGCCTTGCGGTGGGATAAACTGAGCCGATGTCGTCAGCTGTGGTGGATCAGAGTAGTTTCCCAGTTGCATGCTGTCGTTCCCATCGTCTCTCCAAGACCAAACTTGATCCCAGAGACTCGAGGGTAATGGTTCGTGTTGCAGCGGGTTCAAATTGCCTGGGACGTCCCAAACTAAACTCGGGGTGGTCCACCGGTCGGGTTCAGTTGGTGGCAGGATATGATCACTACCATCATGTTGGTTTCCTGGTAAAGATTGCAGTGTGGTTGGGGTGAAATTATACGACTCGAGTTCTCTGTCTTGGTGCTGACTGACAGGGCTGGAGTGATGACCAGACGTCGGCACGTAAGATAATTCGCGATCAAGAAATTGCTCAGAATCGCAAATCACATTTTGCTGACAAACATTACTTTCCAGGGGACAGGTCTTGTCGCTGACCATACAATCCATTGTTTCTTCGTTGTTTGTTGTGCCGGGAGAACATTCCATGGGGCTGGATGGAGAGTGCTCTTGAGAAGCACCATCGATTGTTAAGCTTAGTGGCGAATTAGAGACCGTACGAATTGATTCATTGGGTGTTTCAAGATGGTCGACTTTGAAGATTAGCTGGGGAAATATGAAAAGCTTGCTGGTGGTGCTATACTTTCTGGTGAGTCAGGTGACGCATTTCGACGGGACCTTTTTGGACATGTGCCGGACGGCTCATTTTTCCGTTTGTTGCTTGGCTGGATGATCGATTCGGTGTTGGTTATGTCAACAAGAAACCTTTCAAGCCCCGAGAGATCTTGAATCTTATACTTCGAAAAGTCATACCCCAGGCACTCGCAGATTTTCTCCAACCTATGGAATTGTCAATTAAATAGGGAATGTGCAAGATGCCCTGGACGCTGACGTACGATATACGATTTCTATAGATAGTTCGTATAATAGAAGGAATTGCGAAAGGAATTGTTATCACTTGTTGATCCTTTGGATAGAATCTTTTTTTCAGCTTTGCCTTCAAGTCATAGGGATCGATAGAGTAGTCATTGAATTGACTAAAAAAGTTGACCCGATGTTTGACTGGCATTGCCAAGAAATTAGATTCTATCATAAAAGTTGAAGCGCGCACATACCATTATAGATGATATCCCAACTACACAAGCCCCATGTAGTGCCAGACAAGATGTCAATGACCCTATTTGCCCATTTCGCACCACGAATCCGGCCCCTTAGGCTTTTTTCTGTAGCATGAGACCGGAAAATCGACCGCATAGCTTGAAAGACATGTTCTTTAGGGGCGACCTCCAGAGCCACTGCGCACATTGAACAGAATATGAGTTCTTGAAAGCATGCCAAAGCCGTAGTATCCATCTCTTCTCTCGGTATGCACTTGCTGTAATCAAGTAGGATCGACAACTCTGGAGTCGTAAGGGCTGATGTCGATAAGAACGTATGTTCTGGTAGGGTTGGCCCGGATACCAACTGATGAACAATCTCCTTTCGATTTAATTCACCAATGGCTGTCCATCTTTTCCAGTCATCTGATTCAGGGAGAATACTGATAAAAGATGCGAATGAGGACAAACGATGCAATTCACGTGTTGTGGCTTTCGTCGGCAAAGGAGTCCCTGCTGTGACTGGCAACTCACACTTGTTTCGTGGTTCGTAGAAGAATATTTGGAGTGAACTCTCAGGGATTCTCTGTTGATGATCAAAATCATCAGCAGAAACCTGTGTTTCAACGCCCTGTATGTAGTGAGAAGGATTCTGGCAGACTGTACAAGGCCTCTGGGCTTCAGGAGAAGACGGCGAATAGGCATTATCTAATTCAATAATGCGTAATTCTAGGTGCTTGATATAAGACGATTTATCACCTTTGCATTCTATCAGGCGATCGCAGGCCATGGTGCAGTGGACAGTAAATTCAAGAAGGCTTTGCACTGGGGAGGCAAAATCCACACACAACCTTGAAGAGGGGCGGGGACAGGCGCGATCGCCGGTGGCGGTGTGCCACTGAGGTGCGTTTTCATCACATGGCGCTAAAATGCCTTCGTTCACCTTTCCATGTTCTGGTTTTATCCCTTGCTTATTTTCTCCGGCTTTCCTTTGTCTTGATGTATTCACCAGCCATCTTCCCTCCATCTTTCCTCTATCGCCCCACCACCAACGCGCTATTCCATAAGTGAAAACATCTTGTTCATGCCAATTCTTCCTTCCGAAAATGGTGTTCCTACAAGACCTTTGAACAAGAAAAGAGCATTTGCTCCAGTGTTTGTTTTTACGCCACTGCTGATTCTATATTCTACGCTAACTAGATTTGTAGACCCGGGCTCCGGGCTGACGAATCTGGTTAGCGTTCTTCCTTCCTGCATGATCACATGCCACACTGCATCTACGCCAGTCTAGAACCGGATAGACTGCCACGTCCGCATACCACAGAGACTTCAGGAATCCGTATACGTAAGTACGATGACTAGATGGAATGCCGGTAAGTAAGATGACCTCTAGTTGTTGATTTAGAAGACGATGGTGCTAATAACTTGCACCTCCCGCCCTATCTCAATGCAACGTGTATTAAGAAATTTCCTTTTCTGCCACCAGGGCCTATAGCAACTGGCTATGTCTATGCAACTTTGATGTCACGGTCTTATTACTACATCTAACATGATAAACTTGGATATTTCCTCCGAGATACCATGTGTCACCTCCTCCAAAGACCAGGTTTCAATTCACCCAATTGGGTTTGCCTGGGCTCTCCAGTGTGAATATTGACCCTGTTCACAAACAACAGTGTCATAGATGCCAGCCCCATTATTAGGTAATGTGATCCATTGCAGGGAGCTGCTTTGGCAAAAAAAGGACCTTGGAAAAATTAGACCGATTATCGGCCTGTAACTGGAAGGTCCTGGTTCCGAGAACAGTTGCTCCATTCGGTCAATGATTCCTGGGAATTGGGAGATGAGAACGCCAGAAAAGATAAAATCGGATTGTTGCAAAGCAGAAATATTAGCTGAGCTCGCAAAAAAGCTTTGCTTTTTTCTTCTGTAGTTATATACACTAACCCAGTCTTTGAGTTTTAAAAAGCCAATGCGTTGGAGTCTCGTCTTCACAGACCCGAGAATTATCGAGTAATAAGACCAAAGACCCCCCTCTACAGCAAAGATATTACGGATGTGATTTGACCGAAAAACCATCCTCGCATCTCAAAATTAGTTCTCCTTTTGCTGGCGCTCCAAATGAAAGATCCAATACCCCAAGAGGAAAATTGCCATCGCAATAGCATCTCTGCTCGGCGAAAGCGAGAACCTCCACGAAATGGCAACGGAGACATTATCTGTGAGCACGTTGACTGCCAAAATGATCCGCCGACCCTCCGCTTTCCATCTCAATGGAAGTGTGTTTTCTATTGCACCCAAAGAACGTCAGACCTCGAAACTGACCTTCGAATCAACAAACACATGGACAGGCATGAGCGACCCTACAAATGTTCCGAGTCCGGTTGTGAAGAAAGGCAAGGCTTCGCCTCGAGTGGTGACTTCCTGCGCCATCAAAAAGAATTACATGACAAAGGCAGCAAGCTCAGAACCCTTTCATTTTGTTCATACAAAGACTACACTCGCAGTTCTTCTAAGCCTTTCTTGAGAGCCGAGAATTGGCAAGACCATTTTCGGCGGATTCAAAAATAAAAGGATACGAGTAAGACCGAATCATTGGAAAACGTATCAAACGAGCCCACCACCCCCGAAAACGCTTCTCTTAGACCCCACGACGGTCGCTACCCAGCTACATTCCTTTCTCGTGAGAATATTCTACAAATGGAGGCAGACTCCCTCCACGGTCTTCTAGTGGAAAAGTATTGACGTATCCAGGAGCTTGAGCGACAGAAAAGGGAATTGGAAGCAATGAATCGTGGTCCCAGAACTAGATCATCGTCTTAGTGCCCTTGAGAAAGAGACGTTACATTGGAATCTCAGTAATTTTTGTTGCGGATTAAATCCCAGTGTTTGATCAATAAATCAGATAACCCATTGATGATTGGCGATTTCCACAAGTGTCATTTTGGCCACAACGCTAGTCTGACGAGTCATGGCAGTAAAATTTCAAAGCCTATCAAGGTTCTTTCCATTCCGTTTGCATCAAGATTGAGTGTTATACCAACTCATAGATTACGCCTGGGACCTGAAAGTGTGAGTTCAGTTCCAGTAAGCGCAAAATAGGATGTATGTTTGGGATTATAGTCGCGGACCACCTTTCTATACCCGAGGCTTGCCTCATTTGCAACGGTGGGTTGCTCGGACCCCTTCTCTTCTTTCCTACCTAGTCAGAAAGCAATCTATGGCTTGGTATACTTCCGATTAGAATCCAGTTTCCAATACATCAAAGTCTGAAGATCTCATAGAGCACTCCATCATAAATAAACAGTTCCATCCACCGGTTCCCTACCACTGTGATTAACAATCCAAATCAATTCACAAACAGAACAATGATTAACTCTACTCTTGCTATTTCAGCAAAGATTTCTCTGGGGAAATTGAATCTTCTTCTGGTATGGTTGAAAAGTCCTTTAAGTGATCTCTTTTGACTAAAATACCAAGATGAACAATGGATCAGACTGGGCCATTCACTTCAAAAGTGACACGATAAACCAGAAAGTCCAAGAGTCGCTTCACATACGAAATGGACATGCAACGCACGAAATCAGAGTATCGGAGACAGCAAAGATGTTCGGTGGAGAAATTCAAGCCGATAAAAGGGTTGTGACTGTGAATAGTCCTGTGTGTTCATAAGAATTGGCTTAGGGTGTCCAAAGTTACACGCACTTTCAAAGATCAAAGCGATGACTTGGGCAGATGGTACAAGGTGTTTTGTCCACCCATGCTGCTGGTGGCAAAGCTGCAGCCAAGACAAAATTCAGCGTCTAAACTAGGAAATATGAGCTAGGTAATTAGCTTAAATAAAACGATACCTTCTGGAACAGGGACTCATCTATCTATCTACTATCACCCTCTTTTCTCTGTAATTGATATCACTCCATGGAGGTCACCGACCGATTCTTCAACGAGGAAAGGCTTCAAATTGACGATGGAGCTCGCAGCTACGGGTGGTTAATGTCGCAAGTTGACTGCCTCTTCTGCTCCGACACATTCAAATCGAAGCAAGCGCTGCATCATATCTTGAGACACTATGAGAAGGCCGATCCCGATCTTCGTTTTGGCTTGGACATCTTTCTACAAAGCGACTGGGCTCGCAAGTCTGCTATCGCTCATTGGAAACTTTTCACCGACTTCGATCAAGTTGTGGACAGCCAGGAATGCCTGCAAAGTGAGCACGAATACCCAGATGTTGCCTCGTGCTGTGCATATGAGTCTCCAGGTGCCTTCCATTTTCTGATCCGACAAGGGATTATTCGGTCATGCTACTACAACAGCTTTGGACACAGCCTCTTCCTTCTTGCCTTTCAGGAAAACGTTATTGAAACAATTGGTTACATGATTTCTACGATGAGTCCTTTCCATCTTCTTGCTCCTGCATCGGTGGCAGAAATGTGGGATGGGAGGTCAATCCTTCAACTGGCGGCGACAAACTCGGTTGTATTCGGTATGTGCTGGGAAAAGATTGACCAAATGCCTTTGGACCTTAAAGAGACTCTCCAGGAAAGAGAAATCCGCAGCATTTGCCAATTTGCAAGCATGGGCCTAGCCTCTAGTTTGTATCGAAGAGGCATAGATCTTGCTGATGTGGTGAAGAAAGATTCTTCTCTTTGGCTTGAGATGATTCGCTATCATTTAGAACCAACATCTCTTTTTGACTGGCTTTTGATGAACAATTGCCTACCTCCGCAAGACTTTCTTCTCTGTCATCCGGACCCCGATTCCGCTTTGGACTGGCTTTTGGCAAACAATTTCCCACTTCCATGTCATGGACATGGCCAAGAGTTTCTTCGGGAATTTGCGATCTACTGTGGCAGGTTAGATGCGGCCCATTGGCTGTCCTTAGATAGGGTAGCGACCTGTTCAACTAGTGGATTGTGATACAAGTTTTGACTCACTGGCCGGAAAATATAAGATGCGTCATATTAAGCCGATAAGCGTATAGAGCTCTGGAGAACAAGGTGTTGCGAATCTGTTCTGTGAAACTTTCTCCGCAGAACTCGATGAATACTAGCTATCTTTTTCTGGCCACAACATTGTCTTGAAAGAATCTACGCAGCTCAGGCATTTACCGGGTTTTCTCGACAGATTCCCAACTTCAAATAATTGAAATACATTTTCTGGTAATCTGTTGCATCAGATCTGCTTGGCCTTTCTCACTAGGTCACGTTCCCATCCTGGATACTGTTTTAAGACAACTAAATCTCACCGGTAGCCTCTAGACTCGAGCAAAATCCACTGGGTAGTAGAAGTCCTCATAAGAAAACTAAATAAAAGCTTTCGAGAATGATATTTCGTGATTAGTGGCTAGGTGTACGGTGTCAATCGAATTGTTCTTGCACAGTATGAACGAACGAAGCTCGATTCCATACGCTTTTGGCACGATGTCTACAATAAATATACGGGTTCGATCTCGTATATAAAAAGGATGTCGTCCTGGTTCTCTTAGATCTGGGTACGATATAATCAGCTCGATAGGCTTCTCTTAACCCTCAAGAGGAATATACCCACTCCTATTTCATTCCGATATTTGCTGGCCATTGCTACGACTCCAAGATGTACGATACCCTGAGAGAGTATTGCGTCCTGAAAGACGTAGCGAAGAGCTCAGGGCTGGGGCTCGTCTGTGTTGCATGTGATCTGGGGTTTCGCGACCAGGACGTGCTATACAAGCATTTCGACGCTGAGGAGGATCACAACGGCGTCCATAACGGATTGTCCAAGAGAGAGGGAGATTTCATCCTATTTTTGGATAGCTATCGGACAGCTGTGGGTTGGGAAACCATCTCGAAAGATGATTTCCCAATCAAATTTAATGAGACGGAACGACGACCTGGACGTCGGCCATTCTACACATTCTTTGAAATCGATTTTGTCCTGGAAAAAAAAGGCCAGCTCAAATTCAACACTTTGGAAAAGAGTCTTGCAATTGTGTGGAGAATTGTCAGGAATGCTAGAAAGGATTATGTTTGTCCTCTATGTTTGGTTCTCTGCAGCACTACAAAAGCATTTTATTACCATTGCGACCAACTGAAGGATGATGTCCACACGGGCCTCGCGTACAAAGGCCCAGATTGCCAATTGTTTCTTCCTCATTATTTTACTGCCCTCAAGGCAACAGTACCGGAGACAGAATTGCCTTTGGGTAGGGGTCGAAAGGGCACATACTCGTTCCATGAGTGTTTCCGGCTGGAGTTCGTCTTGCAATGGAAACAAGGTGAGTAGGCTCAAGAGACGAGTCCGTGATTGGTCCTAACTATGTGGTAGTGGATTCGACCCAAGTCTTTGGAGTATGACCTGTTACTGGCTTCTGGCGATTAGTTACGATCTCATGAGCCCCACAATCACAAGCCTAGGCACCGCGATCGTCGGTGACTAGCGATGCAGGGGCTGATGTTTGCAGGAGCAGGTGTTCCCCAGTCAGCCCCCGCAAAGCGGCGTAATTAAATGTTTTTGTATCATCATTTTACACCCCAAATGAGAAACTTTACGGTCGCGATCGCTACTCGCATGATTTCGAAGCTCTAGAAGTCCTAGCTTATATGTGAATTTCGAAGCTCTAGAAGTCCTAGCTTATATGTGCAATCACTATAAGTTGATACGGGTCGCCCAACCGCAACAGTATTCTAAAACACCCACCACAAGTTTCTATAATTCTTTTATCTAACCAAAGATCTCGATATCTCATATTCTCATGCATTAGCCTCACCCCCTACTACGAAGCTGTTCGTAACAATCATGATGCAAATCAGTGGCCTGCAATATCTGAAATTCTGGGGTGGTACAGCTGATCGCAACAACCGAAAGAAAGACGTGAGTGATCCGATGAAAAACCGGTTGCGTAAACTCATCCCAAGAACAGACTATCATTTTCGTGGGAGCTGAATGTGGTATTGACCAAGTCATGGTTCACTTTTGGCGAAATAAATGGCCTGAAACTTGCTTCTGGGAAGACTATGAAGCAATCGGAGCAGAAGCGATGGCAGCGGTGGTAAAGGCTCAATGGCCCTGCCAGAAGCTGCAAAAGCTAGCACATATATTTCAAGAAAAGGGAATTAGTCGGGAGAATGCAATAAATTCCATGGCAGAATTGGCATCAGAGTCTGAGGAAAGGAAGAAATGTGCATTTCTTCGGCTCAATGAAGTTGGAAGCAAGTTTGACTAAGAGGACCACAGACAGAGCTCGAAACAAGATGAACAGTTGGGCCAACTAGAGAAGGATGTATGTTAGCAAAGGAAATACGGTTACAAGTGAATCTCAATCTCTCAGTCCCAAGAAATATTTTGATTGCAAGACTAGTCCCAAAGATCTCTCGCGTAGCTCATGATTTCATCGTTCCCCAGACCTTGAACGCTTAGTTACCGCTGGAGAATGCGCATCAGCACCCTCGTTAGCCTGAAATCCAGCAACAGGAGCTTTCGTGTTCCATTATCTGGCAAACATTTTGTCGCACATATCTGTTTGAAATTAGCATGCACGATACGACACCCACTGCAAATTATCGAGAATGTTGACCGGCACGTCCAAGCGAAGGCCATGCATAGTTGGACCCAATGGAGCAAGTGTCCGAGATACTGGCATTATATCTTGACGACTTAATTAGAGTACCAGTAGCATTTATCAAAGACCTTTTCTTTCAAAACTAAGATCTCCATGGCTTTCTTCCCTCTCACCATGTCGAATGACGAGCGCAAAGCTTCCATATTGGAAGGCATGCTCATCAAAGCGAGCAAAAATTACGTTTGTCCGGTCTGCTTCAAGTCAAATTCACAGGCCAGCGACTTGAGAAACCACCTGAAACAGATGAAGGAAGCTGAAGATCACAAAGGGCTTTCGGAACGGGAGGAGGCAAAGTTCCGATACAGCTACGAAACAATCATGGGATGGAAACCAACAGACAAGGACCCCAAACTCGACCTGCCACGCGCGCGAATCGTTGCGTTTACAAGAGACGTTGTTGTCACAAAAATGGCCTCCCAAGCAGAGGACTTTGTGCAATCCAAGATCCAGATCTATCTGCAAATTGCAGTTTCATCAGGAATGACTCACGTGTGTCCCGAATGTGTGGATGAAGATGGGCAGTATTTCAATAAGATGGTAGATTTCGACCGCCACTGTTGGGAAAAAAGCGATCGAACGCATATGAGCCTGCTATCAAAAGTCCCCGCCACTTTCCTTCCTACATACCTCATCGCGATGGGGCTTTCCGAAATTGAAGAGTTGCCTCCTGGACATGACAAACCGGGACGCTGGACAAATGAACGATATCTGAGGACTGCCTACGTCTTCAAGACCAAGAAGAGGTACTCCCGCTCAATGGAAAAAGGGTATAATTTCAATGCTAACACTGAAACCAAGGTTCACCGGGCCGGAAAGTCCACATGGCCAGGAACAGCTTAACATCTAATTTAGATGTAGCTTCATGTATCTGTGACACGTGCATTCATGCCTGCGGAATATACGAATTTGTACCTAAACAATGCTGCGAGGTTGTGCCTTCGATTTTTACTCTAGCGCCTGAAGCAGGCAGTCAAAAAGGTCCAAACAGTAGATTTATCAAGCGATTTGTCTTCTACCCACGGGCAGCCCAGATGCCCATAGAATTCCGGAGCAGCTCCGTGCTCAAGGTGCATTCTGAACTTCGGATAACAATACTCTTCAACGTACAGTGCAATATCCGCTGACACTAATTCTGCATAGCTCAAATCATTGCGCGCCAATGCAGACAGTGCTGGCAACAGAAAATGCAGCGAGGGGCTCTCGGCCGTGCTCCTACGATAAGCTTGGTAGCCACCGGTGGGGTCGACAAGCTTGCCGTACTTTCTTGAGCACTTTGTTTGCAAGCCACTTGCCTGGATGCCCTGTACCACGGCTGTCAAAGAATAGTAGTTGCGAATATTGTGGAAGACCTGCAGGGGACTGTCAGTTAGAGCTGAGACTGAACTTAAGAGTGTTCTAGCATACCTGAGCAAGACTATCAATTTGAGATTCCAGCCCAATCTCAGCATCCATGCACTCTTTCACCTCAATCATCAGCTGATTCCATCGAGAGCCCAAGATGGAACGCGCCTGGGCCCCATCATCGGTAAATGCGGCCTGCGTGTATTCTCTAAACAACGTCACATCTTTGCGCGATGTAAGTTTTGCAAGAGCTGAGGCGTCGTTCCATCGCAACTGCTCTAAAAAATCATTTCTGTTGTCAAGTGGCGAGCTCCAGTCCACCCCGAGTGGGGTTAAAGAATTTTGGAACCGAGTTTTCAAAACCTGCAAGTCTTGTAATATTTTTTGAGCCGAGTCTGCTTTCTCCAGGACCTCCTGTAGGGGCCGGATTATCAATTTTTCAAGATGTGCTTCTAGTGTGAGAGCCAAATCGTCTGCTCTGGCTCCCTCTAGGCCGTCATATTCCGGCCTCTGGTGCGCTGCTCGGTCTGCCTTCCGCCAAGTGTATTCGATGGTGGCGTGGATGAAAGGGTCGCTTTGAGATCTTTTCAAGCACTATTCAAGATTAGAATACCCAAGGATGGATCATCCAGAGCGGAAATAAATTACCTGTTTAAGAAGAAGCAGTTGGTTGAGATGCATCGGTGCCTTGATCAAACCAAAATAAAGTTTGGCACTGAGGACTTCATATGTCCAGAGAAATGTCTTGGTTTGCTTAGAGGGTAGATCCAAAGCTTTCCGTACGAGAGCTCCGAAAGGGACCTCCTTCAATTTCTCGACGCTTCTTTGTGACAGGTCTCCAGCAAATTTTGAAGGACCTTTGTTCAAGATTTGATCCAAGCGTGTTCCCCAGTTTGGAATGTGATTTTCCGCGCCTGTCGTAGTATTCAATGTCTCTGGCCCGGCATTTCCACGCTTACCGAGATCATCACTATACAATTGATGTTTATCGATTCCTTGAAAGACAAGCTGTTGGAATTCCTTTCTGCGTCAATCTCTTTTTTTGGCCTGTAGCTTTTCTATCTCCCAGTCGGCGTCATAGCTTGGGACATTTATGGAGGCTTCTTGCTCTGTGGAGGCGGTGCTGAAGGATGAAGAAGGTGCTTTGTGGATGGCAGTAGTGTCATCTCAGTTACTGAAGGCATAAAAGATCGTGAGTGTGGTGATGGGGATGCAATAAACCTTTCTGACTGGCATCGCTAGTCTGCGATATGCCGTCCACCTTGATCGAAGAAATTGGGAATCAATCATGAGCCAGTGCCAGGCGACGGGGTCATGGATATATCAATCTGTGTTGTAGTTCAGAGGTCTTAATTGTCTTATTTTTCAAAGGGAAACATTAGGCTATATATATACAACGAGAAGATCAACTTGATTTCCAATCAACTTGGTTCTTTCTATAGATATCTCGGGATTAATTCCGATGGTTCGGCTTGGTTCCTGATCTGCACCAGCCTCATATCACAACAATCTGCAAACGCTATGCATCATTTGCATGATCGCTGGCCCCGTGCGACCGGAGTGGTTTGCCGATCATGAGTCGTCTGAGCCCCTGAGCCTCCAACACAGCTCCCAGGAATACTGTAGTCACTTCTGCCGGTAAAAGGATGGCGCTCATTGTCGGAGGTCTGGATCTGTAGGTTGGCCGGGATTGGATTGAAGGGTTTATCCGGCTGCATTCAAATTGCGCAAGGATCATCGGGCTCCACAATGCGGTTTCTAGGAATGGAAAAATACCAGGTTAATACAGATGGCTTTCAATACATTGTAACTTTTCGAATCGAACCTACTCAAAAGCGGCAATAAGAATTCCAAGGACAAGGCGATGCGGAGGGTGACTTCCTTTCTGAGTGTAACGGCTGCATAACAACTATTGTCCTTAGCTGGTAGCACTACCGCACCAAATCGTTAAAAAAGATCAATGTGTCAATGTACTGTATCGGAGTAAACTTCTACATCCATAACCCGAATCGTTCTTGCTACTGTACTGGCTACTCACACGTTGAGCCTGGTTCTTAACCTTTCACCCGGCTATTCCTACAATGGTGTCAAGTTCGATCTCGGTTTATACATATGTCTCGTGACAAATTTTCATCAATCGACTGGTGAGGTTGGTCTGTGGAGTACTGTGTGAGTAGGGGCATTTTCATGAAGGATTTGTTGTAGTTCAGAGGTATGAATTGTGTTATTGTTCATAGGGAAACATTAGGCTATATATATACAACGAGAAGAACAAGGTGATTTCCAATCAACTTGGTTCTTCGTATAGATATCTCGGGATTAATTCCGATGGTTCGGCTTGGTTCCTGATCTGCACCAGCCTCATATTACAACAGGATTAAATTTGCGGACCGCGATTTTTTGTAGCTACATGCGACCAATACTCTCATTTATTTTCTGGTAGATTCAGCATAGCAAAAAATCACAAAAATTCCGCAAACTAAATTTCTACAAAGCTTTGAAAATCATCAAAATTCTATTGTCACGCACGTAGGATTAAAGAAAGGTAATTTCTTGGGCTAATTTGGTAGTCCGTATTCTCTCGCTGTGGCAGGGCATTGACCAGCTGTCCGGGAAGATGGTATCTCTGTACAGGATTATTTACAGTACAAATAAGGCAGTTGTTCATCTACGAGAATCATTAGAAGTAACCTCAGTTCCCTCCCAGTCCCTAAAACCATGTAACACGAGCCGAAAGCAAAAGTCATTCCATCCGCACTATATATGCACATACACTAGCAGGTATGAGTATGCCTGGGAAGCAGAGCCACCCGCTGGTTTACCCCCTTGCCCTTTTTGGCACGTTTGCACAAGCCCCGTACGGCATGGAGGTTGCGGGCAGTGCTGCGTGTGAATGTAGCTCTGCAATTAGCGCATTCGAATTTTGGAGCCAATCCTTCCTTTTCGCGCTGGTGTCTTAGAAGGTTGCTGAAAGTGGCGAAAGTTCGTCCATCGCACTCATGATCCCAGCACCGATACTGGCGAGGCTGACTTTCGATACCGTCAGTCCCTGGCGCAGGGAAACATTGCAAACCGTGATCAGCAAAATAACCTTCTCGAATTTTCGAGCAGTTCGGAGCACCCCTTGATCAATTATCAGTTTTGATACTGTCTGTGGCGTTACGGAGGATACCCACAGAATCATAAGACCATCATGTGGCGTGAAAGTTTCTTTTGAATAAGGATCTGGTGAGAGCATGAATGAACTAGAAAATTGAATTTGGTCAAGACCATACGGCTGGAAACATATGTTATGCTTTCTATCTCGCGGGACAGTGCTTACTCGTATATTTTATTTCTCTCCAAGAAAATCTCATGCGAGCCTTGCAAGGACTGGGTATCAATTCCGGAAACTTCACCAGGCAGATCAAGATATGACAAGGAAGGCGGAGGACAGGAAAGTGGAGGGAAGCGCGTGGAACCTCTTTCTAGAGAGGCCGAGGGCCACACAGTGGCAGTGTCGACGGGAAGATAGCCAGATAGAGTGGTAGTCTCAGCCCCCACGGGCTCGAGTATGAAGCTCTCATTCATCTTAATGGAAGAGCGTTCAGCTTCTAGGCAAATGGTAAGTAATGGCGTGAACTTGACTCGACGGCGTAAAAGGAGACCGTTAGAGATGGTCTTGTCGAGTTATTGTCTAGAAAAAGTGCGAAGGGCATTCCCGGGAGCTTTCATATATGGAGTTATTCCTGGGATCCCAGTGCCCCCGAATGCTGATCCACAGTCTTGAAATGGTAATTTTGCTGCAATGACGCTAGGCACGATTCTCCAGCCCGTCTCAACACAGGATAGATCGGCCCATTTGCCTCGCTCGGGTGGAGGTAGTTTCACTCTTCCGGTTGATCACTGAACATTGCTTTCCCACTGAGCGAGCGTATTCCTTTCAGCACAGTATGCAGACTACTTTTGGCTCGAGATGATTCACTACTTGGGGCACCGGCCCGGCTACTTTCGTCGATTTCTTCTTGGAACAGATTGGTGATGGTGATTTGCTAGCCCGCTTCGAATCTTGAGCTCCAGTACTTGTCCGACAGCTCAGGGGTCAGCGCTGATTTCTCTGAGAGCGGGGTCGTGAAAGATGCCCTGCAAGCCTGGTGGAGCCATCGCATTGCATTCTGTTCTAGATTCATGGACATATTCCGAGTTGTTTTGTAACCAACTAGCTCTTAACGCTGCTCCCGACTTCCGAAAGCTGAGATGAGGGCACTGATCTCTGCTGCCGAAGAGGCTCAGTCAGTGGCAAGGGCAGAGTAACTTTCCACCTCAGAGATAAACTGTCCTAATTGCCCTGTTCTTGTATCCTAACATTCACCCACACATTGCTAGTTCCTCGTATCCGCAGACTAGTTTGCTGGGTCTCGGTCTCGATCGATCCTTCTGGACACATGGCCACGACTTAGGTATACAGACGTGAGCGTAATTTCGGCCAAGTGGCATTCCTTGATGGCTAGAACGGATGGATGGAAGATTCATGTGCACTGTGTCCTGGTTGAGCGTAGTACTTTTCAATGCTACCGCCATTCGAGAATATGAGAATCAGTATTCGAACTTCTTCCACTGTCTCAAGATGATGCGACCTGCAAACGTATGTAAAATCAAACAAGTCTTACCCGGTGCCGGATTTCCAACCTCAAATGGACAAGTAGTGTATTTGATTGAGCTTCGGTATGAATAGCCCGGGTGAGAATGCACGGAAGAGAGAGAAGAAATCTTTGGGGTAGGAGAGCCCCCCCCCCCCCGATCACGAACTGCGTGGACCTGCACTCTTCTCCCCACCCACTGATGATATCGCTGCATCCCACACCTCAGGGTATTGCGCGATGAAAGTAACACCCGGGTATTGATAATATCAGTGTTACGAATCTCGTCGGGTTAGAGAAGTTACTAAGGCTGCTTCTTTAGTGAAGAGGCTTGGATGAATAAAATTCAATCCGAGCCCCTGCCGCCCCCCAAGTAGAATATGGATGATCTGTCAACGTGTCGTCCCCTTAGCTAGATTAGCCTGACGTTCATTTCGGTATCCTCCATTATTAAATTGATACTAGTGGTTCTGTGGTCCTCACCTGGGTAATGGGCCGCCTCACTCGATCATCTCTGATGCCTATCTAGCATGTCTCAGCAGCTCAGCCTCATGATTTTATCACAGCCAATCATAGGATGATATTAGATCTAGCGTCATTCCATCTGGATGCGCCACTGAAAATGCCCCATTCTTTGGGATCAGAAAAGTATAAGTAGAGGTCGACAGTGGACAGACTTTCTTTCCTTGGAGATATTTTCTCATAAACCTCACAGACCTTGCGATTTGCACTCTTACTCTGCAGTCCCCCATCACATCCATGAATCAGCCCCACCCCCACAACAAATATGATGGGTATCTTTTTTTCAAGGCTGATCCTCTTCCCGGCCAGAGAACGACATGGCTTCGGGTAGAGCGCACTCGAATACATGCTACCCAAACTGAATTATATGGTATGATCTATGATCGAGCTTTCGAGATTTCTGCGGGAGGCCAGTATCAGGCTCTGTCAGATGAGCGGCGCGCCCATGTCAACCAGCTGATTCATGATCAGCGGCATCAAGACCCCTCCGTCGAGTGGAGCTGTGTGTACGCAAAAGAACACCGAAGGGTTGTCAATGACCGTGATACTGTTGACCGTGGCCATGAGACTGTTGCAATGACAGTCATACTCATGCAAAGACCATGGACTCCCAAGGATCACGCGAGAACCCCGATGGGTGATTTAATTGACCTTCGAATGTCCACAAACCTCAATGGCCAGGGGCAATATGTTAGAGCTGCAACAACGTCGGGTTTTCCAGTAGGCCACATGCTTCCTCGCGACTTTGCTATGAGCAACGCGTACCAAATTCCCAAGCCACCGCAGACGCAGGATCGAGCCAGCATGATCTGCCTGCGAAAAGCGCTTTCCGACCGTCAGTCAAGAATGACAAATCGATCCGCTCTACCGGAGGGGTAAGTATTCCACTCGCAGAAACATCATGCCTAAGACCCGTGAAATTATTGCTGATTCAAGATTGCAAACAGAATCGCGAGAGCCCATGTGGAGCAGGATATTGAAGATAAGGATGACTCTGGAGAAACCGATAGTGATGAAGACAAGGACTGTGGATGCAATGGAGCGCAAAATCTATGCATTTGGGCCCACATGGCCCACGACAATCCAGGCTGCGAAGTCACCCGTGGAAGACAAGCATTGCAAGAACAACGCTCCAAGCATGATCTTCGATTATTTAGATTGCGGGTCGCTAGGGCTAGGGCCTACATGAGTCAAAAGCGGGTGCAGATCAGGCGATCAGGGATTCAAAAACCGAATCATAAATGGGTCGGAGCCCGTCGGATTATTAGGAAAACACGTCTTTGTCGGCCACAGGAGGTATTGGAGGACGCGACTCATGAACAACCAAGCATTCGATGTCAACGTCGCAATTCTTGTTGAATTTCCCCCGAACTATAGTTGGAAGAGCCGTATCCATTAGGTACCAAGATTATTTAACTGATTGGCCATTTGTTCTTTCTACTCCTGCATTGCTCCTTCAAGAACAAACCTTTAAGTCTTTATCCCCGCATTCACCCAATTTCTCGCACCACTTATCCCGCGACTCGTTCTGTATATCGGATGATAACTATGCGTAACCCATTGGGCTACTAGGAACAGCCAGACGGTCTTCTGAGGTAAGAAATCATCATTTTCGCTGTTTCGACAGCACTGGAAAACAGGGAGAGAGACTAAGGGATAATGACATCCCCGAGGCTCGCTGCAGCGATCACGGCCATTATGGGGTCTTGTTACCTAACGTAAAACATGGAAATGACAGACCAGTATTAGTTCACAAAAGCAGAGACAAATTCACATCCTGAGCTTCCTTTGATCAGTACTTCTTCTGCTTATGTTCTCCCTGTTTAGGTACATGCCGCAATTTAATAACATCCCAAGCATATAATCGGACCGGCCCACGCACCACGCCTCACGGAAGCTCAATTCGCAAGAAATGCACCACCTCTGAGATCAAATCCTCCTCGATACATCCAATGAGTCTCGTCATCACATCCGGAGGTGTCATCGATCGTTGTTGTAGTCGTGTGCGGAGAGAGGACTTGGGTAAACGAGGATGAGAGGGAACAGTCTGCTGTGGCTGCATTTGCACCATGCTTGACTTCGGGAGGGTTTTCTGTAGGAATTTAAGGAGACGACAGAGACTATCGGCGCCATAATCATCGCCGATGCGAAGGCAGAATTCGATGGCAGCACAATTCATCTCAAGCAGACTGTCGCTGTCTTGGGCCAAGCGATGAACAGCGGCGTGGCGGATTCTGGCAATGGAATGGCGTAAGTTCTGAACAGTGGTGATATTTTCACTATGCTGCTCGGACGAGATCTTCGATCGATTTCTAGCTAAGAATTTGAAGAACTTGTGCAGCTCCAGTGCCTCAGCGCATGTCCAACCAACAGCCAAAGACTGTGGTAGAAGCCAATTTTGAACAAATTGGAAGGCGGAATGCTCGAGGTGGCGTTGCAGGGTTTGGAGGATCATATGTTGTGCTCGAAAAGGGATAGGCGTCATATGCAGTCCTAGCATGGGAAACAAAATCTCTATAAGCTCTATCGATCGTAATCAGCGAAGGCACTCTAGTCTCTTGTTTCAGCTTACCCTTAGCATTCAGTCCCCGACTCTGTTTCAAAAAGGATTTCAAGGACCTTCGACAGTCAATTGAAATTGTTCGGGTTCGAGAGGATCGAGAGGTCATTTACCGGTAGCTGATTGACTGTGGAGACCAATGATGGACAGCGGTGGAGTCTCGATTGGCGCCCGACGAAATCATGTTCCGACGACGGACTCGGCGTCGGCATCTCTTCATCGATGGTACCTCGGCCGGCTTGTGGGCGTGGGTACACAAAGTACCCTGGTCATCCTGTGCTGGCAAGTGAAATAAATATTTGGACGGCATGACGCGTTGCAGTGATTGCGAATCGGGGCGGAAAATGTGTCGGCTAGGCTGAGGGAAATCATTTTTCTCTCACGGGGCGAGAACAAAAATTTTGCAGGCGAAAAATTCTGTGCATGGGCAAGCGAGTTGCCAAGGCGAGTCTTCCATGGAACGACTCTAAATATTAGCAGCGTGAAAACCGTTTCACATCGTTGAGCAATGTTGAGACCAATGATTTGCGAATTGATTGGCTATGGTGCGAGCGAATATTGGCAGATTTCTGGAGCCACAAGAAATTAAGCTGCTACAGCGAGTAGCCCATGGCATGCCACTTCGGTCTACACCTCATACAAAACGGCGCTAAAGGCCGTTTCACCATTGTCAACAACGTTGATGAGGCAAATGATTTGTCACGCATCGCATCATGCCGACCACGGCTCCAGGTGGATCCATCCACTCCACCCGCTCTCCACTCCAAACTCTTGAAATTTCTTATTTCAACGTTGATAAACCGCCTCAACACCCACGAAATTAGGGTCGCCCGCTGCGAATTTGAAGTCAAAATCTCTGGGTCCGGCAATATGTACGCAAGTGGTCGCTGCCGAAACCCCTACTCAGAATAGCATAAAAGACGCTCTTTTTCTGTCGAAAAGAAAAGCAGGACTTTCCTCCTCACACTCCGGGCCTTGCAGCCTTGGGTGTCTTTTGCAGGTAAGATCTGCGTTACCAAGTACTCTTCGCAGGACGGGCTCTGCGTGATCAAGTGTGCCTCGCGGGACGGGCTCCGCGTCAACAAGTGTGCCTCGCAGGAGAGTGCTGCGTCACCAAGTTCTCCGCAGGAGACCGCTTCGTCAACAAGTTCTCCCTCGCAGCAATGAGCCCTGCGTTGTAGGAGTGTGCTCCCTCACAGCCAATGAGCCCTGTGTTGTACAAATGCGCTCCCTCACAGCCAATGAGCCCTGTGTTGTATAAGTGTGCTCCCTCACAGCCAATGAGCCCTGTGTTGTACAAATGTGCTCCGCGGGGACCTCCGCGACATCAAGAGCCTCCGCAGGGGGACGCTGCGAAACCAAGGGAGACCCGCAGGAGACCGCTGCGATACCAAGTTCTCCGCAGGAGACCCGCTGCGTCAACAAGTTCTCCCTCGCAGCAATGAGCCCTGCGTTGTAAGAGTGTGCTCCCTCACAGACGATGAGCCCTGTGCTGTAGAAACGCGCTCCCTCGCAGCAATGAGCCCTGCGTTGTAAACATGTGCTCCCTCACAGACGATGAGCCCTGTGCTGTAGAAACGTGCTCCCTCGCAGCAATGAGCCCCGCGTTGTAAACCTGTGCTCCGCAGGGACGCCTGCGTTACCAAGAACCTCCGCAGGAGACCGCTGCGACACCAAGTTCTCCCTCACAGCCCTGAGCCCTGTGATTGTACACTCGAATTCGAAATTGGCTTCCATATTTTAGACAGAGAAACTATCTCAGACCCTAAGATTGGGCCAATAAGAGAGGCGACTATACCTTTTTGAGCGTTAATGTGGAGTCAGAACTTTGGTTTTCTTTGCTGTGATTGGATCATCTGTCTTGGCAGAGGGTTCCAGAACACAAGTATGTGTATTTCTCATGGAAGCCAATTTCGAATCCGTGTGTATAATCTTGAGCTTCCATGCAGCCTTGAGCCCTGCGTTATCAAATATGTGCTTGTTAGGCGACCTGCGGCGCCGCAGTCCTCGTCCTGATCCTCTGACGATTGCAGGCACCTCGTCGTGGTGTCAGAGACTAGTATTCGGGGGAGTCCTCGAAGAAGCCAAGACCTGCTCCAAAGAATCAATAGAATGAAAAATCATCCAGTATACGTTGTGTCATGCCCTTCAGCCTGTTTGTAGAGTTCAATAGCCATGTTCCTGGTTCGCGTAAAGTTGTTATGGAGCCTTGAATCATGCCCTGTCTTTCGACAATGGGCATTTCTTCACCGTAGTGCGAAGTAGGGCACTGAGTCATCGGGCCAGTGGGTATCTCAGTGTATGATCGCTTAATGGCCGATCTGGGCGACGCGTGCAATCCAAAGTAGTCTCCATTTGTGAATGCGTATTTTTGCTGGCTACCAAGGGGGCAGAATTTGTCTCGATGTGGTGAAATGCGGGCTTTCGACAGTGAGTAGGTAGTGTTGGCGTGCTGATGAAGGCGTGTTGATGTTGAGGACACGTTGATGGTGACGGCCGGCGATGAGTGACGGTTGAGGGATGGTGATGATCAGGATCGATGGGAACCAGTGAGTCACATGTTGATTTGCGGCGCGGCGTAACTGCCGAGCGGTGAAGTGGCTGCCAACGGTGACTACCCATCGCCGTTACCGTGGGATCTTCGTTGGCTCACCAATGATGTAAAAGATGATGGACGGTGAAACATGATGCAGTTCATTAACTGGAATCTGTCATTGCAGCAGATCGCAATGTAATTATCTGCGGATAGCTTTTCAGAAAAACTCGACTATGGGCTTGGAGGCGCGTGACGGTGCAATCAACATTGGTTACCAATTCAAAAATATGATAAAGGGTACATTATGTACATCTATTGACGATAGATTTAATGATTGTTTCACTCGGGTCGCTCTTCTACGTGGCTTGAGCTTCGTCGCATACTCTTTGGTGATACATAGCTCTTGGATAATGTCGATCAATGATCATCGTGTGCGTAATATATATCCTAGATGCGCACGTACATCGTAGCAGTAGAATGGGAAAAACCATCAGAATGTCAGCAATTAAAGCCCGCTCTTCTGGCCCTCTTTTCTTAACGAACCGGGTTCGATACCCGCAGGGCGCATCTGGATGACCATTCATCAGAAAGACGGTTCTCGCTCATGCATTTCCATCGTCGTAGTCACAACCCGCTTGTTTTGACGATTCGTCTCGCGTACGTTCTTATCTCTTGGGACTCGTGATATGAAACGCTTTCTGGAATACCGACCTAAGGCAGCACCCGGCGGTGGCGAAAAGGCCGTGCCCTGACGCGTCGCAGCGTCTCGCGTCGAGCACAGGTGACAGGCCCACAACACAGAAAGAACATCACAGCTACTTTCGAGATCAACAAACGACTTTTCCACCAGTTACCACCGACATAGCATCCTGCGAGTAATAATGGAGCAGTTGCAATCGCTGCGGCAGTCGAACGACCGTAATTCACGACGCTCTTCCGCTGGTGAATTCGTGCCGTTCGGGGATGACATCATGGGGAGAGCATTCGATTGGCTTGCGGCCACGTTTGGAAGGGAAAGTTATCTTCATACCAGCGGGTTGGCAAAAAAAGGTCAGTTGTCACAAACCTCCAGCCGTGAGAACGTAGTTCTCAGATATAGGCCACGGGGGATGCTTTGAATCGCCGTCTGCATTGGCCACAGGCAAACAGATTGCCGTTGGAGATATTAGATCTAGCACCAATAGTCAGCAACTGGCGCAAGATGGGTGTTCGCAACTGACTGCCACTGACCGTGCTCGCGGCCTATATGAGAATCTCAATACCAGGCGCAATACGCTATCTCGACCGGACTTGTAGGAACAGCCGAAGCAGTACTGCATTTCACTGCTTCTCCATATCAGCGAGACTTCTGGTGGCTAAGGGTGGTACAGACTTGCCATTAATGTAGTTTGGGATCAGCGAAAGCCAACCAGAGATGTAGCGGGCTCAGCTCGATTACGTCTGGAGGGCCCAGTGTCGTTTCGTATCGCTGCAAATGCATGTTGGCACTATCTGCGAATGCATAGCTGATTCGTCTCTGCTTTTCGTGTGAGAGGTCAATCTTCAAACGTGTTAGTACAAAGTTCCACTGAAAGAGAGGTTCATGGTATTTGGTCTGGGGCGAAGTAGTAGCTCACCTGAAAGCGACCGTTCTCATGGGGAGAGATCTGGGATAAATCTAGTGCTGTGACCTGGCTTGTCGCTTGCTGAGCTGCAATCAGGGCTTGGCAGAGCTGGCCTCAGGCTCGATTCATTGCTGGCTGATTTCACACCCGGAGAAAAGAAATCATGGTCTTTCTTGGTGGCCGTCGATGCTGGACTTCTCTTTGATGTCGTCGGATGCTGCAATGGCTCACTCAGTCTAGTATGGGACCGGGTCATGGCTGTTCACGAGGCTTTGGGTCGGAGGTCGGCAAGAGATTCATAGCTGTCGGAATATCACAAGTTCCTCAAAACCTGACAGTTAGCCTCCGATCGGAAAGGGTAATGCCGAAGAGACGAAAACACCTTTTTGGAGACTTACCGTATGGCTTAGCAGATGGCATCAAGCCTTTCTGGATTGGGCTCGCTAAATGCGCCAGTTGAATTGGTAATCTCAACCACGTGTTCAGAAACAATAAAGGCGCGAGCGTAGTAATATCCCATGGCTTGGCCCATCAGGTTGTTAAAGCTGGTTTGGTTTCGAAGACGGGGGGGGGAGGGGGGCATATCTCTGTCAGGTCGAGGGTAATATCGACACGTGCCCTATGAAGAAAAAGAACTATCAGCGAGGTTTCCTGAAAAACAAAGAGCCACCAACGGAAGGCGATGGTAGGGAAAAGAAAATGCAGTACCAGACGTTGGGAATGCGTAGGGGCAAAGCACTAGCATGACTTAGAAGACATTGAGCGACTCGCAATCGAAAGTTTGCCATCCTATATAGAGG